AGCCTCCACTCGCACCAACTGCAGCCCCCGGTGCAGGCCCTGATCACTCGGCATCAGCAGTGAGTTCGAGTGACTGCTGCCAGCCCCAATCGCCCCTCAGAGCTTCTTTACCTCCCCCTGCTCCTGAGGGGTGAATGGGGCTGGCAGTCCTCTCTTGTACCCACTGCTGGCGACAGCCCTGCTCACACCTGCTACTGTCTCTGGCCCCCGATCACACCTGCAGGCAGTGCTGGGGCCACTACTCACACCCACTGCCGGCACCTGGTGCCGGTCCCGATTGCTCCACAGCATTAACGGGTGCGAGGAGCAGCTGCCACTCTCACCCGCTGCTGGCGCCAGCCCCAGTGGCTCCGCGCCCCCAGCAGGTGTGAGCGGTGCCAGAGCCGTCAGCACATGGGAGCAGTGGTGGTGGGGCTGCTGGCAGACAGGGAACCGGGGGACCTGCCCCTGTGCCCACTATAGCATCATGGTGCACATATTCATACCCTGGGCCCCTAATATGCCAATAAGCTAGGCAATGTGGATGAAATGGACAAATTCATAGAAAAATATAATCTCCCAAAAATGAACTGGGAAGAATCAGGAAATGAATAGGCCAATAACAAAAGATGAAACAGAAGCAGTAATAAAAATACTCCTGGCAAAGAAAAACCCAGGTCCAGACAGCTTCACAGGAGAGTTTTCACAAACACTTATAGAACAACTGTCTCCGATACTCCTAAATCTATTCCCAAAAAATCCAAGAAGAAGCAACACTCCAAGCTCACAATACCAGATTTCAAGTTATAGTACAAAGCCATTGTAACCAAAACAGCTTGGTACTGGCACAAGAACAAGCTTATAGATCAATAGAACACAACAAAGACCCCTGAGATCGACCTAAGACATTACACTCAATTAATATTTGACAAGGAGGCAAGAGCATACAGTGAAGTAAAGAGAGTCCCCTCAATAAAATGTATTGGGAAAATAAAGTACATAAAAATAAAAAAATAAAAAGGAAACTAGACCACCAACTTACACCATACACAAGAATAAACTCAAAATGGATAGAAGACTTTAATGTAAATTGTGAAACCATAAAAATCCTAGAAGAAACCACAGGCAGCAAAATCTCCGACATCTCTCATAGCGATGTTTACAGATACATCTCCTAGGGCAGTGGTTGGCAAACTCAGTCCACAGAGCCAAATATCAACGGTACAACGATTAAAATTTATTTGGAGAGCCAAACGTTTTAAACTTAAACTTCTTCTAATACCACTTCTTCAAAAATACTCACCCAGGCCGTGGTATTTTGTGGAAGAGCCACACAAGGGGTCAAAGGGCCGAATGTGGCTCTAGAGCTGCAGTTTGCTAACCAGGGTTCTAGGGCAAAGGGAATTAAGGAGAAAATAAACAAATGGAACTACATCAAACTAAAAAGCTTCTTCACAGCAAAAGAAACCAGCATTAAAATGAAAAGGGAGCCTACTGCATGGGAGAACATATTTGGCAATGACACATCTGCAGGTGATCGCGCTGGGTGGGGCCGTGGCGTGAGGGAGCAATGACAAAGGACTAATATCCAAAATATATAAGGAACTCACACAACTTAACAGAAGGAAGACAAACAATTCAATTAAAAAATGGGCCAAGGACCTAAATAGATACTTCTCCAAGGCATACGTACAGAAGGCCAAGAGACATGAAAAAATGTTCAAACTCACTCATCACCAGAGAGATGCAAATTAAAACGGCAATGAGGTATCACTTCACACCTTTCAGAATAGCTACCATTAACAAATCAACAAATGACAGTGCTGGCGAGGATGTAGAGAAAAGGGAGCCCTCATGCATTGCTGGTGAGAATGCAGATCGGTGCAGCCATTATGGAGAACAGTGTGGAGTTCCCTCAAAAATTAAATATGAAACTGCCATCTGACCCAGTGATTCAACTTCTACGAATATATCCTAAGAAATCTGAAAAACCATCAGAAATAATATATGCATCCTTATGTTCATAGCAGCACAATTTATAATAGTTAAGATCTGAAAACAGCCCAAGTGCCCATCAGTAGATGAGGGAATTTAAAAAAGCTGTGGTACATTTACACTATGGAATACTATGCAGCAGTAAAAAAAAGGATCTCTTACCCTCTGAGACAAGATAGAGGAGCCTGGAGAGTATTATGCTAAGTGAATAAGCCAGTCAGAGAAAGACATGATCTCACTCATATGTGGAATCTAAAGAACAAAATAAACTGATGATCAAAGTAGATCCAGAGACATAGAACAGACTGTGCAATCTCAGAGGAAAGGTGGTGAAGGAAGAGATCAACCAAAGAACTTATATGGATATGCATAACCCACAGACACAGACAATAGGGTGGTGAAGGACTGGGGCAGGGGTGGGCTAGAAGGGTTCAGTGGGTGGAAAAATAGGACATATGTAATCCTTGAACAACAAAGATTTAACTTAATAATAATAATAATAATAATAACAACTTCTAACTACTACAATCTAGCAAGTATGTTAAACACATCATCTTATTCAATCCTCATGACAACTCTTAAGTGGAAGCTACAGGAGTTCCACAGCAAGATCACACTGCCAGGCTGTCATGGACCAAGGCATTAAACCTCAAGCCCCGTATTTAGCTTATGTTCAATCCTTAATCCTATACTTGACACATTTACAAGAGGCATTTTCTATACAACACAGCACTCGAGTTGTTCTAACTTAGATCAGAAGCTCCTGCTGTCTTTAAAGTGATGTTTAGAACGAATCACAACTAGCTTAGCAGATTGTACTTTTTCTTGAAGCATCAGACTGGATATATGCTGTGGGTCAGAGGAAGATGAAGGGTCAAGAGGGCAGTGGTTAAATACACAGCCCAGCTTAACATGTTAGAATTACACATAGAGAACTAACAGAACAGTCACCAATGATCAAAATAGAGCAAATTAGAATTTAAATCAATGACAAAAATGCCTTCTCTTGATTTTTATAGAGCAACTAGCTCATCCTTGTGGACGGAAAACATAACTACACATCACCACCTCATTAAAACACTGCACTAAAACTGAGGAAACTGATTCAAACCAGTGGATATTCTTAAGTTTGAGCTACATGGCATATACCGATACTATCTATATTGTGCTTAAACTCAAATATAAATCCAAGAATTTACTGAAAACAATATAACAAGAATCATTATTTTAAAATGGGTTTCTTTTTAAAAAAATATTTTATTGATTTTTTACAGAGAGGAAGGGAGAGGGATAGAGAGCTAGAAACATCGATAAGAGAGAAACATCGATCAGCTGCCTCCTGCACACCCCCCACTGGGGATGTGCCCGCAATCAAGGTACATGGCCTTGACTGGAATCGAACCTGGGACTCTTCAGTCCGCAGGCAGTCCACTGAGCCAAACTGGTTTTGGCTAAAAATGAGTTTTTTATGCAGCAGAGTCAATTCTAAAAGATTAGAGTAGCAATTTTTCAATCTGGTAGAAATCACCTAAATTCTAACAAAACCTAACTACAAAAAAATTTTCTGCAATATTTACTTTTTCTATAACTATTTACTAAGTACCTATTTTGTAACATGCATAAAGTTAGACATTAAATATAGGACATATAATGGACTATTGCTTTTCTATGTATAAAATCAAAATAAGACATGCAATAGAGACCCTATAACTACTGACTTTAGTAATCAAAGAAGACAACTCCAGAAACCTGGAAACAACCCAAAGTTCCATCAGTAGTCAACAGCACAAATGTCTACCAATCATGATGCAAATATATAACAGAATACTGGAGAGAGATGAAAAGTACCAGCTACAATTGTGCTAACTTAAAAGATATACAACGTATACCACAAACTTAAGACAAGGTAAGAAGAGAATATGAGTCTATGTATATAAATTTCTTAAAGCATTTATTTAGATGTGGGCATATCCATTAAAAATATAGCCCTAGCTGGTCTAGCTCAGTGTTGGAGACTGTGGACTGAAAGATCTAGGGTTTTATTTGGGTCAAGGGCACGTACCTCAATTGCAGGCTCAATCCCTGGCCTGGGTCGGGGCCTGAGCAGGAGGCAACCAATCGATGTCTCTCTCTCATAACGATGTTTCTATCTCTGTGTCTCTCCCTATCCCTTCCACTCTCTCTATAAATCAATGGAAAAAATATCCTTGGATGACGATTAAACATTAACAGTGATACTTTCAAAAGAGGAATTTTAAGTGGGAGATTCTATATTCTATTTAATGTGTATACATACATGATATATGAGTGTATGTGTATTCCTTTAATTTAAACACTGAAATTTTATTTTTAATATACAAATAAAGCCAAATCAGTATGACAGGAAATATGGGCCTTCTACTCTTGATCTATCTAAAACTGTTATAATTCTAATTTACACTTAATATACCAACCTCTACTAGAGAAGGCAGCAATAAATTGAACACTTAAGAAAGGACACTGTGGATAATGTTTGCTTAATGTTAAATATGGCATATGGCATAGCCATCTCCTGTGATTCATGACCTAACTCCCAACCCCAGTTCAGCTGTCATTGGTAAAAACTGGTCCACCTGATGCAGGTATAAGGATAACTATTCCAACTTCTACTTAAATCCATTCAGAAAAAAACTGGGAGGACATATCAAATTTATACAACAGACAAAGGGAAGAAAAAGCGGGTTTTCTCCCACCACTCTACCACTCACATGACCTTCCCACAAAGGAATGTTCAGATCTCTCAAGCTGCTTCCTCAACTACAAATGTCCTATGTGCTAATTCTCCTAAGTTTACTAAATTCATTATTTTAAAAGGACTCCCATGATTCAGAAGTAAAACATACTCCAGGACAATTTAGACAAATAATCTAATGTTGAGTAGCATTTTCCAACCCACATTGAGGACCCCATTCCCAAAAGTAGCAAACCAAAAAAATACCTACTCACTCTATGAGGATGTAAAAGAGCCTATTTTTTTAGTATCTTACCTAAAGCAGCATGATTTTCTTGCTCCTGATTCTTTCCCATAAAGGCCATCATCTCTGAATACGTATCAGTCCACCAAGGGTTATACTGCAAAGCCTGTTCAACTGCCTCATCTTCAAAAAAGTCGGCTCTGGGAAAAACAATGAATGTTAGGTGGGCTTCTGTACAGGCTTTGTCTGGGTTTAATGCTTTCTGATTTATAACTTATTACATTTGCATTAGAAATTCAGAGTACATTTCAAAGAAAGATGGGCACTATGTTTAATTTACTTTAGTAATCATAAAATGAAAGTAAGCAACTAACTAAAAGGATAGCTGACATTTATGATCTCTTACATGGGAGTACACAGTAGACTGGTCTTACCCTAACGGCCTATCCCCTGCTCTACAGTGGTGTGGGATGATGTGAAACTGAACACACAATGGACTGAAGCCCAGCACTTGTCCTAGATTTGCAAATATCACAGATTCTAGTAAAATTACAACGTAGAAAAGGATCTCTTAACTCCACCAACAAAAAAAACTAAACATGTGAGTAGAAAATTTAGGATACTGAATATCCACACGCAAGCTACATACATGTCACTGTTTAGTTTCTGCACTCATATTTTCTTACCAAAACACAATCTACTTTATTTAGCTATGCTAATCTTAATAGGTCCTTAAATTAAAACTACTGAAAAAGATAAAAATAACCTTTGTTGAGAACAGAAAATTAATTTTCCTTCACTTCACTTTCTTAGTTTTAGCTGGAAAAATAAATGCTATATTTGAAATACACCTTGGAGGACACTGACTTGTTCAGAAAATATGCTATCCCTCATTCAAACTGGTATTCTTGGGGTAACAAAGAGAAAGAGTATTATAGTGAAAAATTCATTTATATTTTAGTTAATTAGAAACTCAAGCGATTGAGGTTTTAATAAATTGGATTTTCTAGCTGATAGTTTTATGACCTTAAATATATTTTTCTTTCAAGTGAGATACTGAAATCTTTTTAAAATTAGAAATATCACAGATAACAAATTCTTCATATGTGCCAAGCACTTTACTAAGTACTTCTCATTCATTTTTTTTTAATTTAATTTTCACAGTCCCAATGAGAGGGGATACACTGCCCATTTTACATGGGTGGAAACTGAAGTTGTACATCATGGCTATAAAAAAAAACACAGTAAGAAGTGTGGCCTGAATTTAGACCCTCTTAAGTTTTACTCAAGAATCCAAGCTAGCAATCAAAATGTGTTCTATCTTTATGTTTAAGAAATAAAGTACATGTTGGACAAAACTGAATAGCAATGATGTTGAAACAATAATTCTCAATATCAATTTTCAGGCACACAAAGCATTTGGGGCCAGGATGAAGTAGTTGCTTTATAAACCAATCCTGTGAAGAGTCCCTTATTAGCCATCTGTGGGAAGTCAGGGCCTCCTCCGATAGGAGCTGTACCCACGTGGACACCAGGTGTTAGACTCACTAGTATCAGAATAGTGAATAGACTCAAACAATATCAGAAATGAAAGAGACAAAGTTACAATCTACACCACAGAAATACAAAGGACTATACAAGAATACCATGGGGGGGAAAGAATACTATGAAAGGCTAAACACTCCAAATTCAATAACCTAAAGAAATGGACAACTTTGTAGAAATGTATGATCTTCCTAGTCTAAATCATGAAGACTTGGGAAATCTAAATAGATCAGTCACAGTGAGAAAATTAAAATAACCATTAAAGACCTCCCAAGAAGCAAAAGTCCAGGACCAGATGGATTCACTAGTGAACGCTACCTGTAGGTGAGCTTGCTGCTGAGATCTGGCTGATCAGACTTAGCGAGATGGGCCAGACATGCCCTGGAGCCCTCCCGCAGTCCCTGCCCAGGTGGCCAACCCCCCACATTCCTCCCAAGTCCCGATCATGCACCAGTGAGACTCCTCGGCCTCGCCTGCCTCCTCTGGCAATCCAGGACCCCTCGGAGGATATTGGACTGCCGGTTTTGGCCCAATCCACACAGGCCAGCCCAAGGGACTCCACCAGTGCACAAATCTGTGCAACAGGCTGTATTCGGCCCTATTATCGCAGGCCAGGCAAGGGAACGCTGGATCTCTACTATATATATATATGTGTGTATATATATATGTGTGTGTGTGTGTGTGTGTGTGCGCGCATGTGTGTGTGTCTATGTGACCGAACAACTGGTCAACTGGTCATTATGATGCGTACTGACCACCGGGGGGCAGACACTCAACGCAGGAGCTGCCCCCAGGTGGTCAGTGCACTACCACAGCGAGAGCGCCAGACACAGGGATCACGGCCGGCCATTGCAGTCCAGAGACTGCAGCAGGGCAGCAGGGAGTCTACCAAGTGGTGGCAGCAGCAGGTGCAGCGGGGTCAGGTTTAGCAGGAGAGGCAAGTGGTGTAGAACTGCTATTTCAGCCCGATCCCCACAGGCTACACCAAGGGAGCCCACTAGTGTAGGAATTCGTGTACCAGGCCTCTAATATACATATAAGATCTTTGGTTAATCTATTTCTATCCTCCTACCGAAACCGGTTTGGCCCAGTGGGTAGAGCGTCGCCTGCAGACTGAAAGGTCCCAGGTTCAATTCTAGACAAGGACATGTATCGGGTCTAGTAATAATTAATGTCGTTTTAAAACATTCGTTTAAAATCTTGCTTGGCGTTGACTTGTATTGACATAACCCTCAAACACGTGGTATCTACAGAACGTGTGAAGTGCAATTAACAAGTTTTGCTTGAAAAAGTTTGTGTTTGGTTTGGTTTTTGTTGCAAAACTAGGGCTAAGAAGATGGCAGATGAAGAGCATATTCGGCACTGCATGCTTTACGAGTTCCAATTAGGAAGAAAAGCAAGTGAGGCTGCAAAAAACATCTGTAGTGCTCTTGGTTAAGATGCAGTTAGTGCCAGAAAATGCCAGCGTTGGTTTGAGAAATTTCACGAGGGAAATTTTTCGTTAGATGACAAGAGTGGTCGAGGCCGTGTGTCCAATTTTGATCAAGAAGCTCTTCAAGCTCTTTGGTGCAAAATCCTCAAATTACCCAACAAGAGCTTGCGACAACTTTAAATTGTTCACAAAAAAACAATTTCCAATCAATTGCGTGCACTTGGCAAAGTCCAAAAGTTTGGAAAATGGGTTCCTCATCAGTTGACCGACAACAACCGTAATCAAAGAGTCACAATTTGCAGTTCGCTCCTCTCTCGTCAAAACCGTTTGCCGTTTTTAGAGCAAATTGTTACCGGAGATGAAATATGGGTGCTGTATGTTAATTTGAAAAGGCGGCCTCAATGGTTGGACAAAAATGAGGCTCCACAGCCCATGCCAAAACCTGACTTGCATGCGAAAAAAGTGATGTTGTGTGTTTGGTGGAATTTTAAAGGAATTCTTCATTATGAACTTTTACCATCTAACCAAACCATTACAAGTGCAGTGTATAGTGCCCAAATGGAAAGGTTAGCCCAAGCTTTAAGAGAAAAAGAACCCGCGCTGATTAATCGCAAGGGCGTAATTCTTCACCAGGATAACATACGACCGCATACTGCAAGAATCACTGCTGAAAAACTGCGCCAATTGGAATGGGAAGTTCTCCCTCAACCTGCATATTCTCCTGATATTGCCCCTTCCGATTACCATTTGTTTCGTTCTTTGCAAAACTTTCTTCTTGGAAAAAAATTTAATAATTAAGAATGCCTCAAAAATGCATTGACCGAATTTTTTGCATCAAAATCACAAGAATTTTACAACAGAGGGATTAAAATGCTTCCTGAGCGTTGGGCACAAGTAGTAGAAAACAACGGCAACTATATTGTTGATTAAATTTTGTTGAATTGTTTAAATAAATTCAATTTAGGAGAAGAACCAAGATGGCTGCATAGGGCAGACGCCCAAATGCAGCCTACCACAACAAGTTTGAATTTAGAACTGAAAAATAGGGGAAACATCACCCTGAAGCGCCGGATGGCTGGCTGAGCGGAAGGTCTACCATCTGGGAAGGAGAGAGAAGGGGTGCTAAACCTCAGGAACTGTGAAGGTACGGAAAACTGTGCGCGGGAAAAAGCGGCCGCAGAGTTCGCAGCCTGCTTGCTTGCCAACCGCCGAGTTTGCTACCGGCTTATTCCCTGCGCGCAGAGAGGGCGGACAGCTAATGCACGGTTGGCTTTCTTGTTCAGGAGGAAAACAGAACCACCCTATTGCGCTGATAGACGGCCCCAGACAGGGAGAGGCCAGACTGTCGGGCAGTGGGCAGGGATCTCTCGGAGGTGTGTGAAGCCAGCGGCCATTGCTGCGGGACTCAGAAACCAGATCCTCGTAGGGAGGGGCTGAATAAAGCTTGTCTGCACCACCCGAGACTCCGTCCCATCCAAGCAGAGCACAGAAGCCCTTCCAGTGGCTAGCTTCCTCTTTCGCTGCCAATAGGACTCTCCTAGGGAGGGACAGACAGGAATCTAAAGCTTGTCTGCACCTATACCAAAGAGGTGCGGGCACATGCAACCAATTGTGCGGGACTCAACAAAGCTTGGCTGTGCCACCCCGAGACTCCGCCCATCCAAGCAGAATACAGAAACCCTCCTAGTTGAGACACTTCTGATCCTCATAGCCAATTGGCTTGGAGATCAACACTTCCCAGTGACACTAACAACAAGCAAGGCTTAACAACAAAACGGCACACACATCCCACAGAGGTCTACACCAAGACTGTCCACCTCAGGAAACTGGGAGGCTGACTCATTGAACTATATAGGACACCTTAGCACACAAAGCCACCCTACCAACTCAGGAAAGCTGTGAAAATGCTAAGACAAGGAAATAGATCACAAACAAAAGAAATGGAGGAAAAGAAGAGACTGGATATAGAGTTCAAAACCACGCTTATAAGGTTTTTCAAGAATTTCCTAGAAAAGGTCGACAAGACCTATGAGGAGATGAAAAGGCATCAACAAGAACTAATAAGGAATCAACAAGAACTAATAAGAGATCAACAAGAACTAATAAGGGATCAACAAGAAATAAAGAATACTTTGTCTGAAATAAAAAGTATTATACAGAGTCCTAAAAACAAAATGAAAGATCACAAGAATCAAGTCAAAGATTTGGAGCATAAAGAGCCAGAAGACACTCCTCCACAGAAGCAAGAAGACAAGAGAATCCAGAAAGTTGAAGATAATGTAAGAAACCTCTAGGACAATTTCAAGCGAACCAACATCAGAATTATGGGGATCCCAGAAGATGAGAGAGAGCAAGATATCGAAAACATACTGAAAGAAATAGTAACAGAAAACTTCCCCCACCTGGTGAAAGAATTAGACTTACAAGTTCAGGAAGCGCACAGAACTCCAAACAAAAGGAATCCAAAGAGGATCACACCAAGACAAATCATAATTAAAATTCCAAGAGCAAAACACAAAGAGAGAATATTAAAAGCAGCAAGAGAAAAGAAGGTAGTTACCTATACAGGAGCACCTATACGATTGTCAGCTGATTTCTCAACAGAAACCATGCAGGCCAGACGGGAATGGCAAGAAATATTCAAGGTGACGAATAGCAAGAATCTACAGCCAAAAGTAATCTACCCAGCAAAGCTATCACTCAGAATTGAAGGCCAGATAAAGAACTTCACTAATAAAAAAAAGCTAAAGGAGTTCATCACCAACAAACCAGAATTATATGAATTGCTGAAGGGGGTTCTTTTGGAAGAGAAAGTAAATAAAGGTAAAAACTATGAACAACAAATACGTAACTATCAACAAGTGAATCTAAAAACCAAGGGAATTAAAAAAAAAAATCTGATGAACAATATTAACTGGTGAATATAATAGAATCAGAGGTATGGAAGGGGAGTGGACTGATGTTTCTTGGGGAAAAGGGGAGAGGGGGGAGTGGGAAGAGACTGAACATAAACTGTGCACCTATGGATAAGGACAATGGGGGGTGGGGAAAGGACAGTGGGTGGGGTGGGAACCTGGTGGAGGGGAGCAATGGGGGAGGAGAATGAGGAACATTTGTAATAATATGAACAATAAAGATTTATTTTAAAAAATAAAAAAATTAGTAAATAAAAACAAAAAAACAAAATGAGGGATATTAAAAATAAGTAAATAAATAAATTCAATTTTAAAAAGCATTAGAAAACGACATTAATTATTACTAGACCTAATACCTTGGTTGTGGGCACATCCCCAGTAGGGGGTGTGCAAGAGGCAGCTTTTCGATGATTCTCTCTCATTGATGTTTCTAACTCTATCCCTCTCTCTTCCTCTGTTAAAAATCAATAAAATATATTTTTTAAAAATTTTTAAAAAGTTATTTATAAAAATTTTTTTAAAAGATATTTCTATCCTCCCTCCTCTCCCTTCCCTCTGAGATTCATCAGTCTGCTCCACGTTTCCATGCCTGTGTGCTGAGCCTCTGGCCCCTGGTGGCCAGTGTGCAACATAACTATCAGTCAAACGGTCACTTAGACTTTTATATATATACTAAAGGCCCGGTACATGAAATTTGTACAGGGGGTGGGGGCGGTGGTGTCCCTCAGCCCACACTGCAGCCTCTCCAATCTGGGACCCCTCAGGGGATCCCTCAAGGGATGTCCAACTGCCCGTTTAGGCCCGATCTCACCAGGTAGTCAAACATCCCTCTTACAATCCAGGACTGCTGGCTCCCAACTGCTCGCCTACCTGCCTTCCTGATTGCCCCTAATTGATGCCTAACTGCTCCCCTGCACTATTTACACCCAACTTCCTTCCTCTGCCGGCCTGGTAACCCCTAACTATCCTCCCCTACAGGGCTGATTTCCCCCAACTGCCCTCCCTTGCAGGCCTAATCCCTCTCAACTGCCCTCCCCTGCTGGCCATCTTGTGGTGGCCATCTTGTGTCCACATGGGGCAGAATCTTTGACCACATGGGGGCAGCCATCTTGTGTGTTGGAGTGATGGTCAATCTGCATATTACTCTTTTATTAGGTAGGATAGAGGCCCAGTGCATGGGTGGGGGCCGGCTGGTTTGCCCTGAAGGATGTCCTGGATAAGTGTGGGGGTTCCCTTGGGGCATGGGTGGTCTGGGTGAGGGGCCTGTGGTGGTTTGCAAGCCAGACATGCCCCCTGGCGACCCAAGTGGAGGCCCTGGTATCTGGGATTTATTTATCTTCTATAATTAAACCTTTGTAGCCTGGAGCAGAGCTAAGCCTTCTGCTTGCTCTGTGCTGGCAGCCATTTCTGTTGAAATTTATGTATCTTCCATAATTGAAATTTTGTAGCCTGGAGTCAAGGCCTGAGCCAGCCACAGCTACAAAAGCTTGGCTTCCTCCATTGCCTTCTGTTCTTCCAGCTCAGTAGCTGCTGCCATTTGTTGGAATTTACTTACCTTCTATAATTGAAACTTTGTACCCTTGAGTGGAGGCCTGGCCCGCCAGGGTGTGTAAAGTTTGGCTTCCTCCATTGCCGGAGAAACCCAAGCCTCCTGCTAGCTCCATGACTGCAGCCATTTTTGTTGGGATTTATTTATCTTCTATAATTGAAACTGTAGCCTTGAGCAAAGGCCAGGGCCAAGAGGGCAGAAAGTCTCGCTTCCTCCATCACTGGGGAAACCCAAGCCACCTGCTCGTTTCGTGGCAGAAGCCATCTAGGTTGGGTTAATTTGCATACTCGCTCCTGACTGGCTGGTGGGCATGGCTTGTAGGTGTATTGGAGTGATGGTTAATTTGCATGTTACTCTTTTATTAGATAGAATAGATACCTGCAAGGGCATAGACCAGGCTGAGGGATCCCACCAGTGCACGATCAGAGCTGGGGAGGGATCAAGGGAAGGTTCCAGAGTGTGTCTGGCCAGTTTTGCACAGTCCCAGGTGGGATTAGGCCTAAATGGGCAGTCAGACATCCCTCTCACAATCCAGAACTGCTGGCTCCACACTGCTTGCCTGTCTGATTGTCCCTAACCGCTTCTGCCTGCCAGCCTGATCATCACTTAACCACTCCCCTGCCAGCCTAAAAAATACCTAATTGCTTCCCTGCCAGCCGGATTGACCCTCACTGCTGTGCCCTGCTGGCCTGGTCACCTCTAACTGCCCCCCCACCTGGAGGCCTAGTCACCCCCAACTGTCCTCCCCTACTGGCCATCTTGTGTCCACTTGAGGGCAGCGATCTTGTGTGTTGGAGTGATGGTCAATTTACATATTACCCTTTTATTAGATAGGCTTAAATGAGGCTCTTGGGCAAATTTAAGCCTCATACAGATGCACTATGGTTAAAGACACAATTAACGCAGGTAGGGAATAAATGCAACAAAACTTACAACTAGATTTTGTTTATACCCTACTATAGACAATGATTTATTAATTTGAAACTAGATACTGGTGCTAGTAGATGAAAGTGTTATGAAAATCCTGGATCAGCCAAGAAATGCAGTAAATGTAGATTTAAATTCATAAAGACCATTAATCATAACAAAAAGCCTACTTTGGAAAGTACAACTATGTTTGGATTCGGTGTTCTATTTTTAAGCCTGGATAGAAAAACCTCAAAGCAGCACATTAAACGTGTTCTCTGCTAGAATGAACTTCTAAGAAGCAACGTTCTACAAACATCACAAAGGTACTTACAGTGGTAAGTTAATTCATATGTCAAGCCTTTAAGCCTTCACTAATTTCCAGAATCCAAAAAGCACATACCTAACATAGTTAAAAAGACACTCAAAATTTATAAATAAATGTCAAGCAAATTATTTACTCCTCAAAAAACTCAATACTCACAGATAATGATCAGGATCAAATCTGGCCAGCTCAGCAGCCAGGCGTTTCTGTCTGCGTTCAGCTGCAGGAGTAAAATCTGGATCCTTAATATCGATGACATCACTGAATTCATCCTAAGGACACCAAGAAAGAATAATTACTCTCTCTTATTTTAGCACTGGCAAGTCTGATTTTGCAGAAATTGTCAAAACACAGGAAGAATCTAATTGATCAGTAAGCCATGAAACTACCTGTGACATTTTGATTCAAATCCAGCAAATGTTTGTTAAACATCTACTATGTGCCAAGCAAAAAGTATCTGATTTAATCCTTACGCCAATCACGTGTGTATGTTTCAATCTGTCATTGTTGATTGTGAATTTGGTTGACTGTTCTATCATATAGTGGTGAATAGTGATATTAACATATTTCTTCTAATTCATTTCTTTTCAATGTACATGAATCTGTGCACCATGCCACTCGTCTACATATATAAAAGGCTCATATGTTAAGTGTCCATCCGATGGGTAGCTATGATGCACACTGATCACCTGGGGGCAGATGCTCAACATAGGAGCTGCAAGCTGCGGTGACTTGGCAGCGGTGGTTCTCGGTTGACACACCCAAAAACCAGACAAGAGGGAGCCAGATTCCTCACGGGGCCATGCAATTCCACCTTTGGCTATTGGTTATGTTGTTGCTCAGGCACTGTAGGTTTACTGCCCACTTTGCACAGTTCCCTCTCGCACTCTGGAATCCCTCTCGAGGGATGTTGGAGAGCCGATTTCAACCCGATCCCCACAGGCCAGGCCAAGGAACTCCACCTACTGAAGGGACCCTGCTCACTCTGCAGTCGTCCTTCAAGCCACAACACCACCCCAAGTGCGGCCAGAGGGGGAAGGAGTGCAGGAGGTTTCCGGTACATTTCACCCAGTCCCGCCCTGCCAGCCACCTTACCTTTTATTAATTTCCTTTCAATGTGCACAACTGGGTCTCTACTGTTGAAATAAATTTCCAACTCAAGATGAAAGTGTTCCTATCCTAAGTGTCATGTAAACTAATCAAAACTTAGGTGATAACTTTCATGTCCCTGTAAGTGCTCTGCTTGACCAGAATGCAGTATTTTCTCTTAGCCAGCCAATCCCCAAACATCAAACCCACTCTGCACTTTACTTGCTTTTTTATTCTTTCTAGCCCAAAAAAAGGTTGACTATAGGGCCCCTGCCAATTGGATATATTTTATTTTTCCTTTTTTTGTTCTTGATTCTTTCTTTTATAATAGCTCCTGGTCTTCCATCTCATTTTGCAGTTCTCCAAGTAAATTGTCTGCCTCATGAAGCATTAACATTGTTTGTATTACCTACATCATCTTTATTTTTTAACAGACAGAATGATCTGAATATCAATAATTTATACACAGACTTTCCTTTCATTTCTTCCTTTGGTCTATCTCAGCTAGTCTCAAGGAGCACTATATAAAACACACAGAACTATACATTCTACTTTATTAGCATATTTAAGAAATTTTAAGAACAATTTTAATGGATACGACTTTCCATTTGAAAAACTAAAAATATAACCTAAATAATATTCAACTTGACTGTAACCATCTTCTCCTAGATGTATACATATTTATATGTAACATGTTTCCTTAAGCAAATCCTACAGAAAAGTTATATTGGGAAAACTGCCTTATGTTTTTTTATTCCAGTTAGAATTATGAAGTAAAGAAACTTATTCCACACAAAATGTTTCTAAAACTATACATATTTTCTTTCTTCAACCTCCCATTTCTACTATTAACCCCAAGTGAGAAGTATGGAAATTAGAAAAAGCTTAAAGAATATTAACTGAAAAGAAATAAAGATAAATAATTTGATAGAGAGATGTAGAGCAAACTATTAAATCAGATTTTGTAAGTGGAATGACAGGTTAGTGCCTATCAATTGGGCTTTAAGTCCATTGTGGTAATGCAAAATTCCCTACAATGAAATGAACTATGTTAAATTAGCCAGGGAGAAACTAGGGTACACACTCTCGACCTAATCAAAATTTCTAAATAAAAAATTCGCTCCTTCCTACCACCATTCATTGAGCTGAAGTGACCCAGTTGAGACATATAATCTAAGCACAATCTAATACATGATAAGGAGCCAAAGACCTTTCTGGAAGTTACAGCCACAATATCCTAATACTTCTAAAGAAACATTCAGAGCAAAAACCAGATATCTGGCCGTCCCTAACCTTATAGAAATGGGTATTCTAAAGTTCTTTTTCAATTTTATTTTTTGGAAATGTATTTTTAGAATGTATTTTCCTATAGAAATACTATTATAAATAGTTAGATTCTAAGGGCAACCCATAAATGTCTTCAACTCTTAATAAACTACACAGAATACTCACAACAAATCCTACCTAATAAAAGAGTAATATGCAAATTAACTACCACCCTGCTATACAAGCCACTCCTACCAGCCAATCAAGAGCAAGTATGCAAATTAACACAACCAAGATGGCTGCGGCCACAGAGTGAGCAGGTGATTTGGGTTTCCCCAGCGATGGAGGAAACCAAGCTTTCCGCAGACCCTGGCCAGCCCAGGCCTCTGCTCCAGGCTACAAAGTTTCAATTATAGAAGATAAATAAATCTCAGATACCAGGGCCTCCACTTGGATTGCCAGGGGGAGTGGCTGACCTGCAAATCACCACAGGCCCCTCGCGGAGGCATCCCCACGCCCCAAGGAAACCCCCACCCTGACCCAGGACACCCTTCAGGGCAAAACCAGCCAGCGCCCACTCATGTACCATGTATCCTATCTAATAAAAGAGTAATATGCAGATTGACCATCACTCCAACACACAAGATGGCTGCCTCCATGTGGACACAAGATGGCCACAAGATGTCCAGCAGGAGAGGGCAGTTGGTAGGGATCAGGCCTGCAGAAGAGGGCATTTGGGGACAATCAAGCCTGCAGGGGAGGATAATTAGGGGCAACCAGGCTTGCAGGGAAGGGCAGTTGGGGGGTGCGGGAGGGGAGGGGGGGACCCAGACCTGCAGGAGGAAGCAGTTAGGGGTGACCAGGCCTACAGAGAAGGGCAGTTAGGGGCAATCAGGCTGGCGGGGGTGATCAGGCTGGCAGGCAGAAGCGGTTAAAGGCAATCAGGCAGGCAGGCAAGAAGTTGGGAGCCAGCAGTCCTGGACTGTGAGTGTGATGTCCGACTGCCAGTTTAGGCCCAATCCTATCAGACATCCCTCTAGTGGTCCCAGATTGGAGAGGATGCGAGTTGAGCTGAGGGACACTCGCTCCCCCCCAATGCACAAATTTCACTCACCGGACCTCTAGTTGTTTAATAAGTACTCAACAATGTTTCATGGGAAAATACTCTTTCAAAGTTCCAGTTTAATCCACCAGAAACATCTCTTCCCCAGTAATGCAACCTAGACTCAACCTTCCTCGTTCGCTGAAAATTAGCTCCTCCAGCCATAGAGCTGGAAAGGGTGCTGCTGGAGGGCTTGAAGGAGACAAGTTACACTTTACCTACAGGACTTACCTCAGCTGGATGATTATGAAGAGTCATTTCCTGCCCCTGGACCCCAAGTCCCTCTCCCTAGCACCCTTGAGTCACTGCTTTATTTCCTTCTAGCCCCAAGAAGTTCCCTGAAACGCACACACACACACATACACACACATTCTCAAAGCAACACGATCAAACAGAAAAACATGATTTTATTTATTCCATTTTTTTATTTAAGTACTAGAGGCCCGATGCACAAAATTCATACAAGGGGCCCAGCTCCAGCCACCGCAGCAGCTGCCTCTGCTTTGGCCCCACTGTGACAGCTTCATCTGGAAGGTCATCCCATCTAATTAGCATATCACACTTTTAAAATCTGTGCAATATTAGGCCTTCCCCCAGCTGCTGGCTTCCCTCTGACACTGTTGAAACGGGTTTCCTTACGACTGCTGGCAGGCACCGGGGCCAAGGCTGCCCTCGCAGCGCCAGCTTCCTCCAGGATGCCCGCGGCAGCTTTGTCCTGAAGGAAGGACATCCGGGAGGACAGCTGGTCTAATTAGTGTATCACGCTTTTATTATTATAGATAGTTCATATACAACGTTACACCCTGTTTCCCCAAAGATAAGACAGTGTCTTATATTAATTTTTTCTCCCAAAGTTGCACTAGGTCTTATTTTCAGGGGATGTCTTATCTTTCCATGCGCTAGGTCTTATTTTCGGAGGATGTCTTATTTTCAGGGAAACACAGTATTATAGGTTATATTAGTTTCAGGTGTACCATACAGTGATTTGATATTTTTTTATCTTACAGTCTAATCATCCCACTATTTCTAGTAGTCATCTGTCACCAAGAAAACTTCAACAGTATTATTGACTATGTTACCCCTCACCTTTTCATCCATCTCCTTACCCTTTCCTCTCTAATAACCATCTCTTTGGTATCTGTCTACATGAATCAGACAGAGAACAACAAATACCATATAGTTTCTCTTATATGTGGAATCTAAAAATAAAAACAGAGGATTAAAAATGGCAGTGGAGTAAGTGGAAGCTACACTGACACTCTCCCAGGACCAAACTGGAAATACAAATGAAATGCAGAAAAACAACCCTGACAAATCAACTGAGGACTAGCTGGAGAGAACCCTGATAACCAAGGAAGAAAATGGAGACCTCAGAGACTGGTAGGAGGTGTGGAGACAAGAAACTGGTGGCTGGGCTCCCATAGACAGCAATTGAAGTCCCAGAGAGATATCTCAGCTATTCCTACTGAGAACTCTGAGGTCTAATCCCCAGGCTGGGTGCCCCAGCAGAGAGCACCAGAACACAGAGGGCTACCCAGTAACATCTGGCTGTGAAACCAACAGGACTGCTTTTCAAGTAGAGAGGGCTGGAAATGCAGGCACCCTCATAAAGGGCCAATGCACAAAATCTCATATGCAGCCACTCACCCAGGGTTCCACAGGGAACCCTGCTAGCTTGAGGGTCATGACCTCAGCCTGAGGGTCATGACCTCTGCTGTAGAGCCTAAGACCATCAGAAAACACAGATATTTACATTACAATTCATTTACAGTAGAAAAATTACAGTTATGAAGTAGCAACGAAAATAATTTTATG